GAACGGAGTTCGATTAGAAAATTCTAACAGCGTTATAATATTAGCAGCGCTCTCTAAAATACGTATAATAAGTTTCATCGAAATCGGTAGACTCGTTCGAAAAATAAAAAATATTTTTTGAACAAAGTTCGATTATAATCAAGCGCGTCGAACATTCGAGACGACTTTTCTGTTCGTTGTGATACCAGAATTACAGGAAGGTGAAGGTGAAAACATTAAATAACGCTGCCAATTTGTTTATAACTAACTTTATTTCCCGACCTCGGACAATATTCGGGTCTTTCCTATATGTTGACAGGAAAACAGAAATAAACAGAATGAAGTATTGCTTTTCCTCACGCGCGCCACATTGCATTTATACATTTTGGAAGGGTCAACGTGATTGCATTTTATTGTAAATCTATATAATATTTAATTTAAGCTAAAAATGTATATCAAAACTAAATGATAAATAAAATAATATTTGAAGTCATTATCAAAAAAAAAACTTAAATGTATTTAGGAATGCCTTCATCAATATGGACGGGAAGTAGCTACTTAATTTTCTCTACGCGCGTAAATGTTATTTTAAAGGTACTGCTTTATGTTGCGACAGTTTGGGATCTGTTTTGTTCGCTTTTACATCAGGATGCTAGAAACAAAAATAGGTTATTAATTGATTTATGAATTTGCCGCCAATTTGCTTGCTTGAGCTCGGAAAACATTCGGATCTCACGTGTACGATATTATTACTAGGACAACAGGAATATACAGACGTGTTCTAAAGTATTGATTTCCTTAATGTGAGCCAGATTTTCTATGTACCAGTGATATTTCTTCCGTTAATTCACATATTTTGCAACCTAAATCTTTTTATTCTATAAGATTTTAACGGTTTTTTTTAATTATATTAATCTGTATCTGGGTTTCTAGGAATGTGAACAGGTTAGATTTGTTAATAATTTTCTTCTTCTTCGTGTTGCGCGATTCTGCGCATCAAATGCATTCGAAAACTAGTTTATTGTTTAGGGCCCTCACAAAGTAAAACTAATTTTTGTCTAGGGCCCACGACTATCTTAATGTGGACCTCTGATAACCGTCATTTCATTCCCCCGTTATCCATTTTTATATATTGTTTAGAGCTCTATTATTTTTCTCTATATCAAATCAAGTGGACCAAAAATAATAATATACCTTTTTCCATCAATTTTGTTTGTGTAATATTTAGCAGGAGAGAATATTTGAAATTCCCTAATTGATCAGATTACAATATAGAAAAAAATGTTGTTTGTTAATAATAAGAAATATTTTCTCCAAAATTCTCTTGACAATGGGAAATAATTTGTCATTTTCAATAACAATTTGTAAAGTTTGATAAATTGTTCATTTATTAAAGAAAATTATGCAATCTAAATATCAATAGTTCATCAAATTTCAATATAAAATTTATTTTTTTTTTCTTAATCATAAGTTTACAAGTAAGATTAGAATTACTAATACAGATTAATGTTATCTAAATCCCTAATCCCTTCTACACCGAGAGTAACCTAAACCATTTAAGAGAAATAACATTTTATATAAGGATTTTTTTTTATCATCTTTGATATTCATGAAAAAAACTGTCAATTAATCTAGAATGTTGTAATTGCTTTTTTTCATTTTGTGAATAAACCTCTTCCAGAATCTGACGAACCTGTTGCGTATATTTGGAGCATTTGGAGAAGGATTATCTGAAATCGAAAAACGATTAGTTAGGCCATCTAATATATCTTATACTCACCTTCAATAATGATGATCTGGTTAATTGTATTTGGTGCGTTGTGTGATCCAGACTGAACAATACTGATTTGAGTCCTGAAATAAGCAAGAAATACAATTAAATACATTTGCACACAAACACTGAAAAATATAAAAATTACAACTAATTATGTTCAATCAGTAACTTTAGTTGTAAAACTTTAAAATAACTAAATATTAAAAAACAAGTAGTCAAGAAAATTCCATTTTGTGCAATATAATGACAAATTATTTTATGTTATGTCGTTTTTTTTTTTGTAGAAATCAACAAAATTAAGTAAAATTGAAACTGAAATTGGCAAATTTTCCACTAAACTCCTAATTAATTGAAATTCTTTATAAAATCTTACAAATATTTAACTTATGATAAATTTGTAACCAGGACTTTCCTAAGAACTTCGGTGCCTTTGGGCCACTTAAGGAAATATATGTTTTTTTTGGATTAAAAGGTTAAGTACTGCAGTTATTATACCTTTTTTTTTGAGATATATTATATAAACGGTTGTGCAGCAAAATTAATTGATGTGCTAATTAGTAAAAATCAATAATTAAAAAAATCCAGGCATAAAAACAATAGTCGTTAGCGATTTGGTTTATTACAGATATGTTAACAATTAAATATTTGGTGCATTGTGTGATCTAGACTGAACAATACTGATATGAGTCCTGAAATAAGCAAGAAATACAATTAAATAAATTTGCACACAAACACTGAAAAAAATATAAAAATTACAACTAATTATCTTCAATCAGTAACTTTAGTTGTAAAACTTTAAAAAAACTAAATATTAAAAAAAAAAAGTAGTCAAGAAAATTCCATTTTGTGCAATACAATGACAAAAATTAGTTTATGTTATGTCGTTTTTTTTTGTAAAAATCAACAAAATTAAGTAAAATTGAAACTGAAATTGGCAAATTTTCCACTAAACTCCTAATTAATTGAAATTCTTTATAAAATCTTACAAATATTTAACTTATGATAAATTTGTAACCAGGACTTTCATAAGAACTTCGGTGCCTTTGGGCCACTTAAGGAAATATATATTTTTTTTGGATTAAAAGGTTAAGTACTGCAGTTTTTATACCTTTTTTTTGAGATATATTATATAAACGGTTGTGCAGCAAAATTAATTTATGTGCTAATTAGTAAAAATCAATAATTAAAAAAATCCAGGCATAAAAACAATAGTCGTTAGCGATTGGGTTTATTACAGATATGTTAACAATTAAATATTTGGTGCATTGTGTGATCCAGACTGAACAATACTGATTTGAGTCCTGAAATAAGCAAGAAATACAATTAAATAAATTTGCACACAAACACTGAGTAACCAGGACTTTCCTAAGAACTTCGGTGCCTTTGGGCCACTTAAGGAAATATATGTTTTTTTTGGATTAAAAGGTTAAGTACTGCAGTTTTATACCTTTTTTTTGAGATATATTATATAAACGGTTGTGCAGCAAAATTAATTTATGTGCTAATTAGTAAAAATCAATAATTAAAAAAATCCAGGCATAAAAACAATAGTCGTTAGCGATTGGGTTTATTACAGATATGTTAACAATTAAATATTTGGTGCATTGTGTGATCCAGACTGAACAATACTGATTTGAGTCCTGAAATAAGCAAGAAATACAATTAAATAAATTTGCACACAAACACTGAAAAAAATATAAAAATTACAACTAATAATCTTTAATCAGTAACTTTAGTTGTAAAACTTTAAAAAAAAACTAAATATTAAAAAAAGTAGTCAAGAAAATTCCATTTTGTGCAATACAATGACAAAAATTATTT